AAAGAACAAATAATAGAAAGAAAGGACATGTTGAAGAATGAAGGAGAAAGTGAGGGAGGAAGGAAAGCATGGAAGGGTGGACTCGCTCAGTAAAGGACCAGGTTTGGATCCTGTTTCTGTTCCAGTGTGTGTGAGTGACTTTAAGCCTCTTGGTTGATTTTCTGTGGATCGCTTTCCTCGTATATGGGAGAAAGAGGATAAATCCTAACCTAACTCACAGGCTAATGAGAAATTAGAAGTGAACATATTTGAAAAGTTTCACAACAACGCACAGAGAGGGAACGTTATCAGTGTCATGTCATAGGCGAGGCCTGCGGCTGAGCAGATGGGCTGGCTGACTAAGATGGTCTCAGAACCACACAGCTTTTGCCAAACACAGTGCTTCATGGATTCATAATAAGTGTTCAGAGTCACGGGATCTCAGAGCTAACACAGTGCGGTGGCTCTGAAGAGGGTGTGTGTTCTTGCTAAGGCTTCCGGACATGTCCCAGCAGCCCTGCCCACTACCGTCCCAGGGAGTCAAACTGTTGGGCAGGAGAGGGGAGAGGAGGCCCACTCACCCGCTGCCTCCCGGTGCACATGCATGTGCACACGCACCCACTCACGGCTGCCTCCAGCTGGCAGGCAGAGAGCTCCAAGGATTCTGTGAGCGATGCTTCCACGTTCATACCAGGCCACAGGGCAGACTTTCAGGGCCTCTGCCCTTTCCTGGAAAAGCACACTCCTGAGAGGATGACCTCATAGCCGGGTGTCTGAGCCAGGCCTATTTATGCCTGTGGTCCGAGTGTCATTGCTCCTCACACCCCCTTTCCCTCTCGAAAGTGTCCCGGCTGAAGGTCATTTCCAGGGTCCCCTTGCCCACGGCCTCCCGGGTGAAGCCTCCTTGTGATCCTCTTGGGGGGCCGATTCTGCGCCACCCAGTCTGCCTGTGTGTGCGGCAGAGTCCTCCGTGCATGACCCTCGTTTCTGCCTCGTTTCAGGTGCATAGCGTGATGTCCATGTTGTTCTACACTCTGATCACAGCTCTTCTGATCGGCATCCAGGCAGAACCACAGGCAGAGAGCGATGTCCCAGCAGGGCACCCCGTCCCCCAAGCCCACTGGACGAACCTGCAGCATTCCCTCTT